TTTCATACTTATACACTCAAATAAATGAGTCAGGCTTTACCTTGCTTGTTGACGAACGCAAGTGCTGTTTACAGCGGCCATCTAATGAGAGATCAATGTTTGCTTCCCAATCAAAGGTCGTCTAGACGCATTTTTTCTGCTGTGCTTATCACAACACTGATTTCATACTGTACATTGGTGGAATTGTTGGCCACATTTTAACCCTTTTGCTCTAAAGCTCTCAGAATTTTTGCAGATTCAAAGCGGAATTTTAGACTCGATTGCACAAATTGTAGTTAGCATCGATTTGCAAAGAAATCTTCTGAAAACTTTCTGCTTGCGTAAATTTTTGCTAGTTCTCAGTTTGTCCAAAATTTCTCAAAAGCTACTCGAAAAGCTGCAAAATCTCGGCTAACAAATCTTCAACCTCAAGTACAAGTAAATTGGTTCGTTTGCACAATCAGATAATCCCGCTGAGGTTACTGTAGCCTTTCTTCTGAAAGCCATCGAAGCATCTTAATTTCGCGCTCAAAATTCAATTTTGATTTGTCCAGGAATTCGTGGGAGTTGGCGTATAAGTTTGTAGCGTTTGTGGTTTTTTTGTTGTTTTTTTAGAAGAGAATTATTTTGTTTGGCAATTTAATGGAGCGCCAAAATTCGTTCCCTTACTTTTTTCTGTTCCTTTTTGGAAAAATTCTTGCGAAAAATTACATTCGCTCAAAAAATTTAGTCAAAGTTTTTCTATAAGAAAGGAAAGTGTAGAAATGTTCATTCAATGTTTTGGTCAAAACTTTTTCTTTGTTAAGGCCTGTATTTTCCGTAATATTTTGCTTTAGTTTTCATAGACTGATCGTATGTTTCTAGTAAAATACTTTTTGAATAGAGAATCTTTTTTTTTCACCACCCTCTGGAAATCCCGAGAATTCCGCGGACACTTTCACATGCACTGTTTTGCTCCCAAAATCTTTGCACGTCTTAATGTTGACGTGCCGAGGATAAATTGCTCTCGCAAAGAGAAAAGCAATAGTCAATTTCAGCTTAGCCTAGGGTTTCATAAGAAGAAAAGTGCAGTTTTGTACTTTTGTTTTATAGTTAAATTCGCTAGCAAAGAATCTATCTGAACAGTGACAATAAAAGCTTTTCACTATGTAAATCAGACGTTCTAAAAATAGAAAATAAATCGTGGCATAGTCTTAATGCATTCTAAAAATAGATAATAAATTCTCACATCGAGATAAACAAGCCATAAAATTTCGAAATCTTGAAAACATGAAAAAATCAGTCAATAACATCTCATGTCAGAGTCACACGATCACACGATATCCAACACATTCGTGCATATCATTTCTGCGCAAAGAACTCGGCCTTTCTCAAAACATTGTGAAGGTTTGCTCCATTTGGTAGGCTTCCTCATTATGGGCACGTCTAGACCTCCACTCTTCCGCGAAATAGATGATGTTTTGCTTTGTTTTTCCCGATGTCTGGTTACTTTACGTCCATTTGCGCCCAGCTAAAGCCGGCTTGTTCGATGCTTGTCCAGCTGTAAGTAGCTTTAGTCACCAAATGTATATGCTCTTCAGCAGTGCAAATATTCCAACTCCCCCCCCCCCCTCCGTCTCCCTCTTTGCCTACACTTTTATCCACGGTAAATTCCAGTAGTGCAGCAAAATCGAGCACTTCCTGTAATAAAAACAAATTGAACAAGACTGGAAATCTGCCAAGAAGCTCTTCTTGCATGTGTTTGAATGATTTTTTCTCATCTGAGTAGATTTCCTTGCTAATGTGTGCAACTGCACATTTTCTAGGGCGAGTTTGAAATTACGGGCCAAAAAGTGATTGCCATTGTTTTTGCCGTGTTCTCCCCCCCCCCCCTTCTAATTACAATTTTGCTCCCTGAATCAAAAACTATTGAGCACTTCTACGTGGGCTACCTGTGTCCCATCGCCAGCAGCTCAGAAATTATGCAAATGCACAAATTCGGAAAAGAAGCCTACTGGACTGTAATTTGCGTTATAATAATCATGTTTATGTGAGTAAGCATGGTATTCAATAAAATCTGCGTCCATCGGACCTTGAAAATTCCTCAGAAAATAGTGTAAGTTGTAGCAAGAAAATTCTTTGTCTGAAAATTGAGGTTCTTATGCTGAAGAGGCAGATTATTTTCACAGACTCTTAGAACAATGAGCTTTTTTGCTACTAATTGACTATATAAAAGGTTGAAAGTCAATTTTGGATTTCATAATTTAGTGGTCTGTATAAGAGCAAAAGTTGCGAATTCGCTTTCATAAGTGTTTGTTTTCCAGTAAAAAAATAGTTCTGGGAACTCAAAAACGTTATTTGTAGAAAACAATGGGGCTTAGTGGTGTTGAAAAGGAGCACTTTTCAATCCTTTTAAGTGATATAAGTAAAGCTAGAATTACGAGCCGGTTCCTCCACTTTTCCAGAACGATTTAGTGGATGTCACTCGGCTTTTTTAGCAATTTGGACAAAGTCTTCCAGATTTACCTACTCTTCGGAAAAATATGTTACTTGCTCCTAAGCTTGAATACGTTTTATTTCAGGACTAAATCTCGCATGAATTCCGTCATTTTGCAAAATTCTGGACAAATAGTCTAATAAAGTTTTAGATGCTAGTCAAAATAAGGGTTGTCTCCGCATAATGAAATATTGAAGAAAAAAATCTAAGTCAATAGCGGCTAGGTCAAGTGAGTCTTGGATGAATAAGGCAAACCGGAGCGCATGCGCCGTAAGGTTTCAGAAAAATGTTAACGAATCCTTTTTATTCTCAAGAAGACCCAATTTTACAATCTTGTGTTGTGGCCATATTTGAACAATTCGCCTCTGCTTCCTTTTTTTCGACTAAAAAATTATCGAGATACTAGGCCACAATTTTTTGGATCACAGCTCTAATGTGACTTTGTCAGAATTGAATTTCATAGATTCAAAGGTTATTGGGCCTTTTAACCAACCGCGTTATAGTGTACCTTGTACTCTGGATTTGCTCATTGATAGGATTCCTAGAAGGCTCGTATTGACCTCAAGCCTGAAAAAACAAGCTACGTAAAAGTATAGTGCATTCAAGCTTTCCACTCATAGCTTGACTAAGAAATTTGTCACTTGTTCAGCCCCTTCCTCCCCCCCCCCGCTCTTCAAATTGACCTGAGCAACAAAACATAGTCTGAATTTTTTTTCTAAAGGCCGATACCTACTATACACACAAAAGAATGCATGGTGCGCATTTTCTAGTGCAAAAGTGCATCGTAAATCTCTTAAAATTATCTCCAGTTTGCAAAATACATTGGTTAAGAGAAGTTACCTTTTTTCAATGCAGATCTTCCATGATCACCTTTTTTCACGCGCAAATGTTGCCGGCATGAACAGCTACAACACTAATTCGAGATAGCAGTGGCGTACCCAGGATTTCGCCTCGGGAGGGGGGAGGGGCGCGACAAAATTTCTAATGAAGGTGCGTGGCGTCAGTCACGCACTCCAAATATTTCTTGGGATGTTTCCCAAAATTTTTCCGGGCCCCTGACCCCAAAATTCTAGAAGGAGGGGGACGCCCCACGCCCCCTACAAAAATTTTTTTACATGGCTAATTTGAATTTTTAAAAATTTTTAAAAATTATTTTAATTAAAGTCCTCTGCACATTTTTATAACACATTTAAGTAACTTTTAAAAGTTTCGCGACCCATTCTCGGGGGGGGGGGGGTGTTCCCCCCCTCTGTACGCCACTGCGAGATAGCTAGTGCTAGTAGCCTAAAAAATAGGAGTTAAAAAATGTCAATCAACGAGTCTTGCCTATTTGCCGCCAACGTGTCATTCTGAAGAACTTGTGCAACTGCACCAAATTACCCAGTGCTTTACGACTAGCATATTTACATGGGTAAGGTATCGAAAAAGTGTCGTTGTAATAACACATCTGATGGGATGATGGTGCTTGCCTCGCTTACAAAAAAGCATTACCCGGAAGAAGTATGTCACTAGCTGACAAAGAGGTACAAGAACAACATTTGGTGTTTTTCTTGGTACGGAGAGTTTTTCACTTTACGTCTTTGTTGTGACTTTCCATTCTGCTGACAAACAAAGTATTGCTTTCCTACATTGACACACATACTCTCTATCTACGTTCTGTAAATAGCTGTTCTGCAAAGAAACATTTGTTCGGGCGGGTGTTTGGCAATCTTACGATATGATTGATGACTATTTTCTTTTCTCCATTGCAACATTTGAAGAGGAGGTGAAAGCTCATTTGCTCATCAGCTTCAGCTGCTTTAAGCTTTTTATCTTGTTCCTTATGGATTTCGAACATGATTTCTAGCTTTTGTCTCTCTAGCAACTTTTTAGATCAAAGACAGTGGCAAAAAAAGTCGTCGCAAAATCCCTTCGCAAAATACCTGGAAAAAATCAACGAAATCATTGCCATAAAAGCGGCTCATGTGATTCATTTATGGCCGATATAACTGGCTCTGAACTCTCGCCCAGACCGTACTCTCTACGGTATGCTCGGGGATGCTGATTGGTGCGCGTAGAAATAGGTCTGGGCAGACTTTTACTTAGACCTAATCTCAAGGCAATCTCTCAAGGCATTATTTATGAGAATCTATCAATGGCGCACCCAGCACTTGCGTTCGGGAGGCTGGGGGGGGGACGCACTCCAAAAATCATTTTATGCTCAATTTTTGCAGGTAAGCCCGAGATTTTTAGAATGAATTTGAATACTAGTATAAAAGATTTGAATCAAAAATACTATTTCGATTATTTACATGTAAAAAAAGTGCGCCCTCCCCCTATCTTTACCTGCTGCGCAACATTTTTTTGCATGGTTCCCGCGATCAATGAAAATTCAATTTTGTGCTTCAGTCTGGACTTCTTTTTGTTTTGGCCAGCTCGGTTTCGCCATATTGTTCTTCCGCGTCTACGTCATTGAATATTCATTTGCCTCTCCGTTCTGCGTTTGTCTGCGAAATCGTGCAGTACGTAACATGCTCGTGTCAAAAGTGATGACGATGTCGCTCCAGATGTGTTGTGATGCCACGTGAACTAAGTGACGACGTGACACGCGCAAATTGGACTCGGCGATTCTCGAAGACGGTGCTAGCGAACCTGGTGCCATTCCGCAAAGTGTCCGCCACTGACGAGACAAAGACACCGCCAGCTCACGCGCAAGTGCGGCGTCGAGCCAGCGCGGCGCCAGACGTGTTGCTGGCCACGACCGGCCACGCGGTCGCCGCCGTCGCCGCGCCCGAAATCGACGCGCTGCACAAACTGCGACAACGCCGCCGTTCGGCTGACCGGATCTACGCGCTCAAGAGCCATCAGGTAAGCGACTGAGAGTTGTTCGCTTCGCGTTCACGATCGTAGATGCGCAGTCATGCGAGTTTTATTTACCACCAAGAGCTCTTTTAATGTCACTCAATCGCACGCCCGTGCACGTAAAGTAGGTCGAGTGTGTGTGTGCGGCTGCGTGCTGAGTGTTGAAATTATTGTGCAAAAATTCCCGCAGATATCCCGACGTTTACATATCTTGTAACATGATTTTTTCATTGGAAGTCTATTTTTTCAAATCTGTGAAATGAAAAATCTTTATCATATTACCCTTTGATTCAACAAGATTGGCCGCTGGAAGGCGACCGCTCGCGTCCGCGGCGCAATCTGCGTCTTTCTCGCGAATATGTTCTCCTATCATTCCTAGCTTAATTGGTTCTCGAGCAAACAAAGGGAAACAAAGGGTATTTATTCTGTTAACATTTTTGAACTATGTCAATACTCCGATATTTTTATCATCCCATGGCCCTTGAGCCTATTTATAACAATACCTCAATGCTTTTTCATCGGCATTCGTCCAACTTTTTAGCTATTGCTTTGTATAATTGCACCACTTTTTGATTAACTCTGACAAGTACAAATGCTAAACTGCAACTCATTTTTATTTACTTCTTCTTTGTATAACGAAATTTCCCTTGAGCGGTAGCTTTTCCGTCAACCTGCTCCAACGCAAATTGCAAAAATGGTGCAATTGCACAACTCGACTGCTGTTATAAAGACGGATGCATATTGTATTGCTTATGCACTTAGTTTGTAATAGTGGTTTATCTATACATTATGAGGAAATGAAAGAATTTCAGTCCATTTTCCCCACATCAACATTTTTTGTGTAACATTTATTGGTATGATTTTAACGTCGCGAAAATTGCCTACTCAGTAGCAAGACATGGGTCTTTTTTTGAGTTTATGAACTTTTCGAAAAGCTGATAGATCATAGCTCATTGCTTTTTTTTGGCAATTTATCTTACTAGCAACACTTCTTGTCACAGTTAAGCTGTCATGCTACAAACTGCGATGTAGAGTTTGCTATAAATTTCTGACTTTCATCATTTCCAAGGTTTTCAAATTTTTCTCGATTCAAAATTTCCTAATTGTTGTATGACGTCTTGTAGTGCGAGCAAACGTGAAAATTCGGTTACAAGCGCATGTGACGGGATTAGAGTGTCTATTTTCATTAGTAGATGTTTACTGAACAGATGTTAAGTAAGATTAAACAGTGGCAAAATAAAAAACGATGTGTTTTCATTCTCCAAAGTTTGTTATCGCTTATCCCACGGTAAGCCGAGAACGCTTTACTCGAATTAGCTGCTTTGAGGCTGCATTTTTCCTACTCAATCGACCAGTCATCACTTACGATGCCTTTTCTTTTCATTAAGTTTTATTGTCATTCGCAGGCCACGTTAACCCTTTAGCATTTGTTTATATTTTCATTTATTTGGACAAGACACCACAAAACGCGTTATCAAAACTTTGCCATGAAAAATACCAATTTTTCGTTATTTATTTCAAAATCACCACATTCTCCACCAAATTACATAGATCTTCATGCATCTGTATAATCAATCGTAAACATAACATTCCTATTAGGTTGTCCCAAGTCCTTTCATATTTGATTATTTACTGTCATAAGTCATTTTTTCGTAAATTTCTCATGGTAAACGGGGTACCTTATTATAGAGCAAAGCAATCTCTACAAGACAAGGTTCAGACATTCGCACTGAGTGTGATCCACACAAGGTTTGAATCCGATACCTAAAAAGATTGACTAAAAAATTGGAAAAAATCAAATTTTTGTCCAAAAAATCTTACGAACTTCCAACTTGTTCTGGCATATGATTCTACATCAGAAATTCATGAGTACATTTGCTGTATTTTCTTCCATTCCTACAAATCGAGAAATTGAAATATTGAATAATTTCTTAAAAGCTATGCTGGGCTGTTCCTACATAGACAGATCTATAGTATAAAGCCTTGTGAGTATTGACCATTGATTTTCAGCCTTTTACGTGCTTTACTTCCTGAGAAATAACAAATTTAGCACAAAAAACCTAGAAAAAGCGACACTTTTTGGGTTTTCGCGATTTGGAAATATTTTTGTTTCTCGATTTCTATGAAAAAATTCAGCAGAAGTTGGCATAAATGCCTGATGTTAGGAATCAAATACTTGAGGTTAGAGGTCCATAGATTTTCTGGACTTAGATGGGATTTTTCGGGCATTGGAACTTTTGAAATCCGGCTTCAAATTTCATGTGTATCAAATCTTTTACGACTTTTCAAAGGTTATTTTGCAGAGCTTGCGTTGCTTTATCAAATAAATAAAATTAAGGTTGGCTTAATTTGCCGATACGAAAACACTTATGGAACAACCTAATATTTTGCTCATTAAAATGCCACTCTATGTTGGTGGATATTGTATTAGTAGGTGAATCATTCTTTGTTTGAATTATTTCAGACATATTGAAGCTTTTGTGCTGCAGATGCTGACCAAATTTCCTAAAAGTCAATCTGCAGCGAATGCAAGCACAGCTAAACTAACACATAGCTTCCAGCAAGGTTCATTCAGCTTTACCATTTTCATAGTTTTTGTAACGTTTTGTACGTTTTCAGCGATTCTTAACATCGTCTAACTTTCGATGCCAATCAAATTTAAGGTCTGCTACAAATTTTGATTTCTACGAAGATTAGTGGAGAATATGCTTGTCAAAGAGCAAACTGATTTGCCACGGCTGTTCTCATTCTGAACTTTTTGAGACCATTTGCTGTTATGGTAAAGTGCGGGGAATCCCTATGAGGCCTGACATTTGATAGAAGCTTTTTTGACCTTTTGAATTCTTGTACCAATACTAAAAAGAAATTCGATAAGGCCGCTCCTTTGGCTTTTATCTCAGACTAAGAAAATGGAGCTTTCAAAGCTTTGCATCCTGTAAAAAAATCTTTCTGTCTGAATGACGCCATCGAAGAATTTCTTCTGCAAAAATGTCATCGTGCTTTCTCAGCATTTCTCATCCTTGACGTGCACATTCCGTCCAGAATTATGGCGGCATCATGAAACCAAACCAAAAGGCGAAATGTATCATCAAAGCGCATTCATCATATATGGATGGCTGAAAAACTAGGCATTGTGCTCGAAAAGGCAATAGAGCACGTTTTTTCTCGAGCTGCATGATGTGATGCAGCTTGCAGCTTGCTCATTAAAGCGCGCAAATGTGAGCTTGTTGCGTTTCGCTGCTTCTTCACAATGGTGAATCTTTCGTCGTTTGAAATCTCGGCTATAAGGAAGCTGATGACGCCATAGCTGCGTAATTTGGCCGCTGATGTGTGCATTTGCACAACAATGATATTCACAATGGGCGCGCTTTGTCTCATCGGCTTTTCTCATCAGCTGTCTACAGCCATTTTGAGAAGAATTCAATGAAGGTTATACAATTTGTAAATTTATCATCAGTCGTAGTGTACCTGCAGTGGAAACAACACTTGCGCGTAAAAATTGGTTTTAGGGCGCAAAACCTGATGTGCTCCCCGGCCAGCTACGCACAATCACTTCGTGCTCAGTTCAGTTGAGATAACAGCATTGTAGATTTGTCGATCAGGAAAGTGTTCCTACAGCGCAAACAACATTTGCGCTGAAAATATGTGCGCCATGTCCAATTTTTACGCGTAATTGTTGTTAGCACCGCAGTCCCACTATTTAGCCATCTACTGAGCTATCACATTATTAGAATAATATATTGATCGATAGTTACCGCGGACTAATGCAAGTGGAGCTAAAAAGGTGCGCTTCTGCTCTTACCGTTGTGCGCTCGTAAAGTGTGCAATTGCACCAATTCCTCCCTCCCTCAATTAATTTCGGGGACTTCTGAAAAATGTTATGACTTCTATTTAGTATCCAACCACCAACGATCTGCAGGTGGTGTCACGGCAAAACCAACAAATTCAACAACTAAATCAAGAGCTGAAGATATTCAAACTTACGCAAAATTGCACAATGTTAAAATCCCAACAAAATCGCGAAATTTTGTTGTATTTCAAGACCTTTTGGTTTTTTATGTTCTCCCTTTTTTGTGATTCCACGAACAAATAAACTCAACATACATTAGAGTGTCAAACAAGATTTTCTCGCCCCTCGCTAGCCCCCCGTATGTTTGCGATTTCATAAGAACTGAGATCCAATTATGTCGTTTGTCCTCGCCACGCTTGCACGACGATTGTGCGAAGTCCCCAACTGACTCAGCCAAGCGTCCATGGCGGAATCCAGTTCTTTTGACCTTGTCACCATTACCCATACCATGTTATCTTGACGAATTACTCTGCTCTACCGTAAAAAACACAAGCAGAGGCGAAGCAAATAGATGTTTGAAGCGATTTGAATGAAGATAAACGGAATACAGTATGCTTTTTGGTTAGGTAAATTTTTCAAGATAAATGACTCTCTGACTACTGGAAAATCGTTTTAACCTTTCCCTCAACTTGCATGGTCCTCACTGTGTAAGTTTTACCTACAGATTTCTCGTATTTGCATGGTCCTAAGCAAGTTTACCCAACATTACTCATGATTTTTTTTAATTCTGTGAGCTCTGAGTTTGCGTCTTTATGTGCTCAATGTTAACCTTTCAGTTCGTTTACCCATCTGCTTAGCTATACCTTACGTAACCTAAGATTATAGAAGTTTTGAGAAGAACTTTTTTCTTTTATAATCTTTGTTCTGCAGTGCACAAATCTACCTTATCCTAGAGAATTATTGTAATTGTAGAATTTGAAGCCACTTCTCACCATTACAACTAAAGTCGGTTTCTCAAATGGCTCAGTTCGCAATCCGCGATACTTGTCGAAACAACGACAATTTCAAATGTGATCAACAGACACTACTGATTAAATAATCTTTATGACAAAAGATTACTTGACACAAGGAAATAATGTAGAACAAAAGAATAGTTAGACGAGAGCACCACCAAACTTGGTGAGTGCAACAGATGAGATTGAATAATCTAGGCTCAAATTGTAGACATGGACCACCTTAGTTAGGGCTCCGCCCCTCTCTATCTCTCAGACTCCGATCTCTCATCGGCGTCTGTCCCCTGGGTATATGTGGCCACACCCACTCCACTGGATCCAAATCGATCCCCAGAGAGCCTTTGGGCCACGCCCCTCTCTATCTCTCAGACTCCGATCTCTCATCGGCGTCTGTCCCCGGGGTATGACAGTCGCGCTTCACTAATTAGATCGGTTATTGATTGGCAGTAACTCATGAATGAAGAAAACAGCCAAAAGATGCACTAATACAACATGGGGGTCCCCTCAGAACTAAGCGCTTCCACTGCGCTTAACAGCATAAAATAACTTCTCACCTCTGGAGAAATACTTTTCAAGTATCGTAAACAAAAAAAACTGTATGAGACTGAGCACAGCTTCTCTGAACTCTCACATTCTTCCAGCAATTTTTTTTTTACCATATTGCAGTCCGCAATATTACTTTCTTTGGCACAAAAAAACATGTGACTCCGATCTTTGCGACTTGGAGGGAAAAACTGAACACTGAACTCCCAGGTTCGCCAGCAACAAAAAAAAAAGAAAGGTACTACATGGAAACAATACAGTTGCAATGGCTAATGATTATAAACAAAGAAGAACTTGGTGACGACTAACAGGAAAAACACTAACAATGTGATCACTTAGAGATTCTTCAGAGCAGAAACTAGTTGCAGGATGATCCTTGTGGTGACTGGTCGAACATTGAAACATTGTCCTTCCAAACTGCATTTGTTCGAACATTCACGGTCCTTGTTTCGTTACGATGACATCCTGGCTTGCATCGTAATCTTGATCTTTTGCGAGCATTTGCGCTGCAAATACATAGTTCTCCCATGGCTTCCGCAGGTGGGTCTAAACTAGGAGGGGTGAGTCGAACGGTCATACACCATCCATCAACATCATCAGCGAGGGTGATCCCTCCTACGGCATTTCCGCCAGGCTGACCTTCTCCACCTCTCTCGTTCCCTTGTTGGAAACGCTCTAACGACCCATTTGTACTTCTTCTACTACATTTAGAAGCTATGTGGCCAATCCTACCACACGAGAAACATCTCAGTGGGCCTTTATTTAGATTTCTAAAGCACTTTCTTTGCAATGAGGGCCCATTTGTACCTCTTCTACTACATTTAGAGGCTATGTGGCCAACCCTACCGCACGAGAAACATCTCAGTGGGCCTTTATTTGGGTTGCTAATGCACTTTTGCGATGACGGTCTGCCTTCCTTGGGGCTCGCGTCTACCTTAGCACTATTGGCTCGGACGGTCCTGCACCATCCCTCAATATCATCAGCGGGGGTTATCCCTCCTACGGCATTGCTGCCACGCTGATCAGACCTTTCACCGCTTCCGCTCTCTTGTTGGAAACGGTCCACCGTTCCACTCATGGTTCTACCACATTTTGAGGCTATGTGGCCAACCTCACCACACGAGAAACATCTCACTGCGCCTTTATCTGTACTTTCGAAGCACTTATTGCGGGTTGAGGGTCTGCCCCCCTCATATCTGGCCTTCTTGTGATAGTCACTCAACTTGCTGGTACGATCATGAAAGTCGTTCGTGTGCGTTGCCACATCTTCTTGAAGCTTTTCTAGCCTCCTGGCAACCTTCTTGACTGCCTCATACACCTTTCCTTCCGGTGCGTCTAACGCAGCAAGCATATGGTACGAATCCTGCCAGCTTTCCAAGCATGAATACAGCTTGGACCCGCGTATGAAGTCCCATTCGCAGCTAGGATGTATTCTCCTAGAGAGGTCTTCCATACGGCAGCAGAACTCTACCACACTCTCATCACTTCTTTTCGAAAGCGTGTCCCATTCTCTGATATTCTTCAAGCGATCGCAGGGATTCTTGCGTGCCAGCTCAAGTGCTCCCACTAAATCCTTGAAGCTACCTTCCCGCACACTTCGCGGTAAACTTCTATAAACCGCCTTGGCTGTGCCTTCCAAATGATTGATCAAGATATCTCTACGATCGGCATCCTGCCACACCGTTGGCGGGAATTTCACTTCCAGAGCTCGTAGGAAGTCGCGAGGGAATTTTTCCCTGTGTAATTGGGTACACTGGCAACACTCTGTGCCTTAAATACCTCTCTGAACATACTGAATATGTCTGCAGTAGCTCGCTCTGAGTGGTCATTGCCATTGTTACCGCTCATGACTGATATGGACTCACCGATCGTCGACGTTGGCGGAGAACTTCTCAAAGAGGTATTTGACGAACAGCGCGACATTCGCTGTCGACATTCACGCCATTCAGCGCCCTTTGCGTGACATCGGGGTGCATCGCGGAGGTTATCCTCAACGCTTAGCTTTTTGAGTGACCTGTACTGTTCACGCACAGCACGCCAACTCTCATCTCTACGACGTACATCGGGTCCCGTCGGAGTCTCCATAAACATAGGCTCTGCCTGAGAGGGTCCAGGAGGCAAGGAATCTCCTAGATCCTGATGCCTTTTTATCCGTGCCAATAAGGCTTCTTCCCTCTTTGCGCTTCTTAAAGCTTCCAGCTTTACTTCAGAGCGCAGGACCTCTAGCCTATTCTCTAACTCTGTGACAATCTTTAATTTGCCTTCGATCACTAACTCTACGTCATCAAAATCACACCCGAGCCTAGCCCCTAACCTCACTACCATCTGGCTATGGGAACTGGCCATAGGTATATACTCAAGCAATTCCTCAACACTCATTTGGAATTTTTCACAAAGAGTGGAGTGCGAGTTACCTTTATGGCCCAAGTTCCCTTCGAGGTCAACTTGCAACCTCTCGCGCATCGAAATCATTATCTGATCTCGCTTCGAGCGTGAGAGATGCCTAATTTGGCTATCCAACAAATCCCCCATAAAAGTCAATATCCTATCGATTTGACTATCATTCACTTCCAGTGAATTCCAGTCACTCAACGAGTTGTCCTGGCTTGTGGGGATGTGTGGTGCTGGCGTGGCGTGTCCGCTTGTTTGGGGTTGCTCCATGAATGAATCCATTTTTTGGAATTCCGCAACAACAAGAATCAGTCGTGTAAGTTGATCGCCGGCTCGGCCCCCAAGTCGGTTTCTCAAATGGCTCAGTTCGCAATCCGCGATACTTGTCGAAACAACGACAATTTCAAATGTGATCAACAGACACTACTGATTAAATAATCTTTATGACAAAAGATTACTTGACACAAGGAAATCATGTAGAACAAAAGAATAGTTAGACGAGAGCACCACCAAACTTGGTGAGTGCAACAGATGAGACTGAATAATCTAGGCTCAAATTGTAGACATGGACCACCTTAGTTAGGGCTCCGCCCCTCTCTATCTCTCAGACTCCGATCTCTCATCGGCGTCTGTCCCCTGGGTATATGTGGCCACACCCACTCCACTGGATCCAAATCGATCCCCAGAGAGCCTTCGGGCCACGCCCCTCTCTATCTCTCAGACTCCGATCTCTCATCGGCGTCTGTCCCCGGGGTATGACAGTCGCGCTTCACTAATTAGATCGGTTATTGATTGGCAGTAACTCATGAATGAAGAAAACAGCCAAAAGATGCACTAATACAACACTAAGTACTTTCCCAGTGGAACATCAATTGAAAGAAAATAACTGAATCAAATTTTTAATTCTACACTTGTTTTTAAAAAATTGCGAAAAATTCTATTGAGAGATAGAAGTTCGAGTACAGCAAAAGTTAGACTTCTAGGCATTTATTTTGAAGGAAAATAGAATTTCATGTTAGAAAAAAATACAGCAGAGAATTTTCAGCGCCTAGGATTGATATATCTAGACTCTGCATTCGTTGGGGTAAAATCTATCATCCTAAATTCTTATGGATTCCATGAAAACAACTTTGTATGACTTCCCTTAAATTCCTACAGTTTGACTTTCAATTTCAAGTTGCCATCATGCGTAGAAGGATTGCGGTCTATAAAAATAATTGTTAAGAAACTATCATAAATGTTTGAAAAATTCCACACAATTCTCCCTCGCATGACTTTTAGAACAAAGGCAACTTTTCAGCAAACCAAAATACCCTTTCGGCTCCTGAACTCTATCTTTGACTCCTTTACATTGCGACGAAACCATAAAAACCTAAGAATAAGATGTGTTCTGAACACTTGATGTTTGCACGAGGCGAAAAGACAAAAAAGCACACACTTTCTATGCCTCACCTCTTGAATCACACTAGAACGCTTTTATGAGTTTTTTTATGCGTGAATATTCATGAAAGTCGGTTGAGAACACTGAGATTTCGTGTGAAATTATGCATGCACGCAGTGGCGAAAAAAATCATTTTTTTTTTTTCGCTGTTGGCAGCCAAGAATGGTGAGTTACGCAGTTTTTCATATTCTCGGTATTCTAACGCACGAGGCATAGACATGTAGGATAAGCTCTAATTCTTTTTAAAATAATTCTTTTTTGATACTTGGAAAGATCATGAAGTGATTTTGTTAATAGTTCTTCAATTTTTCATCAACAAGACTATTAGAAATGAATCTTTTCCTAGGCAAATTTTGCAAAGAAACTTCTATCTTAACCCCTTGACTAAAAAAATGATTCAACCAGCATGAAAATTTGAAGCGTTTTTTCAAGACTTGAATGATTCTGCCCAGTTGCTCCTTCTCGAAAATTCTTCGAAATAACCATTAGCATTTACTCAACAACCCAAACTTCAAGACTGCTTATTGTTCGCATCCCTCCCTAATTTATTTGTTAATTAGCAAATTCGATCAATAAATTAAATATTTCTGACAGCTCAAATCGCTAAGTCTATCTGTTTGGATTCAAGTATTAGATTACCGGACCGTGCAGCGCATCTGTGCCACATGCTGAACAGCTGGATTTCGAATTTCAGCTTCAAACTTTGCAAATCTCCGAGTCACCTTCACTTCTTCCTCATACTTTAAATCTAAATTGGTTTTCTACTTTTTGATACATCAGTTGCGCATAAGAATATGAAAAAACTGTAGGAGATTACTACCCTTCTCCCTGCCTTACACCAAAAGATTTTTCTTCAAACTTGTTATATCAACAGGTCAAGCCATTATAACAAAAATACATATACCATAAAGCTCTAAACCACAGCGTTCAGCAATAAAAACATTCTAATTTTATTTCTTGCGAGAAGATTTTTCCAGCGTCTATAATATTTTGGAAATAACCCGCTTATATGTTGATATGAAAATTCACATTACAAGCAAAGACAGTCTTGTTTTACTCTTCGTATCTTCTCTAATAAGTTGAATATTTTGCAAAATTGAAGCTATTTTTACCCATGCAGTGGTTTGAACATGATAAGCACGTGGATTTCTAATCTCATCTGGATCGCTCATTAGCTCCGTAGCCAGGGCCCGGCATGAGTAGGAATCTAGCCTTTTTGAAAACGAAGTCCCCCTTGACTTTTGCCAAAATTTACGAGGTCTTGACCCCAAACAATATCTATAAAAAAACCCTTAGAACGAAACGTCGACTAAAAAACGTCAATTTTTTGCGACTTTTTGACCACATAAACTATCCCCTTTTGCTTTTTCGCCCCAGAACGAAATCCAGCTCGTTTCCATAATCTGTGCCTGTCCTTAGCGCTTTTGCTTTATCCGAATGAATAAGGGAAACAGCTCACTGGTTTTTGAATAAAAAATGAGGACTGATCGACCCCTCAATTTGCAAGGCCTTTTGCTCACTGCCTTCTTTTCACTTGCATCGCTTCAAGTTTCAGTGCCAAAAAAACCAAGCTAACTCCGCTCTGATTTTATGGCTTCAGCTCCAGCCTCAAACTTCATCAAGCATGATTAATGCGTTCGTATTTGCTTGCATTATCGAAATGTAATCCTACTTATGACCTCAAAGCAGAGCAGAACCCAGCGTTAGAAAACATTTGTCATGCAAGGAGATACGAAAAACTTCGATGCAAAGCTTATGTTGCTTGGCGTCATTCTTGCTGAGTGTTCTCATGTCTTTTGAGCAAAGTTTTCTCGTTTTGACTTTCTGAACTAGCGCTGAAATCAATAGCTAAGAGTCGAATTTCATATAAACATATCCCATATGTAATAGTATCGCTTACAAATTGCATTATGGCACGAATTCTTGCACACAACGATGCAAAGCGTTCCTTTTATTTAGGGGCTGCAATGATATCATTGCCGTATTTTTATTTGAGGGCTGCAATGATATCATTGCCGTATTTTTTGTCTACAAAAAATTCACTGAAACTGCAAAATCGCCAGCAAGGTTGAGAATCTTAGCAGACTCCCGTAGTTTGTATAAATTATCCCAAAAAAATTGGAAAAAGAATGTATAACTTCTTGTGGAGGCCAAGTCGTTGAAATTGATGGAGTTAGATCATAAGCACATCTTGAGATTTTTAGCAGGCTAAGTTCAACAGAAATAGAATTCGCTGGTAGTTTTGGGATTTTCTAAGGCCTTCATAGTTGAAACAATTTTTCTAAAAAGAATCATAGTTTGAGAATTGTAAGCGCATTTTTGGGATTTTCACCAGGCTAAATTCAACAGAAATAATGTCGCCGGTAGTTATGGGATTTTCTAAGGCCTTAGTAGTTGGGACAATTATTTTCGAAGAACAAGAAAGAATAAAAACTTTAATATTATGGAGAAAGCTTTGCTAAAATCATTTTTTATCGCTGGAAAACTACAATGCCGCAAAATTCCACGAATATCTCCTGCAAATTTTTTGAATATCGCGGTAGTTTTAGGATTTTTTAAGGCCTCATGATTGAAACAATTATTTTTTGAAAAGAATAAGAAAGCAGGTTTGCAGCCGTTATGAGAGGGTCATTCATTCAAAACAGACGTATCTGAAATTGAGTGAGAGGAAGTCAAGTTTGTGATTTACAGCAGGCCAAAATTCTGTTTGGTTAGACCAAAGAGTTTGAAAAATGAGCTCTGTCATGATATCATCAACTTTTTTGTTAAGAGACGAGATCTCGTCCAATGTTACAAAATCCCGCGAATATTATGTGCTAATATTGCGCAATAATACTTGCGAGGTAAAGATTCTAACAGGCCAAATATCATTGGAAATGAGTTTACCGCGAAAGAATGAAGAACCAAAGTCTGCTATGATACCACCATCACACTTTTTCTCAAGAAATCCCTTAGGACGCCGCAAAAATCGTATAATATAGCTTGCAATATTGAGTATTTTTACCAAGCCAAATCTTAGTTGTTATTCACTTCTTGCCAGCTACTAATGTACATATGTTCTTGAATGTGTCGGGTTGTCACAGCTGAATAACAGCTGTACAAAGCCAGTTCCCCATCTCTGCTATTGACGTATTTTCTCTACGAACGCATATAGTCCATAAATAGCACTCAAGTGACGGAAGAAGGGGTGCATCGTTGGTTTGTTGGAGGTTAAAACACCTGCCCAACCGGTTTCTTGGAGGGTCGTCCTCCCAGGTAGAAGTTTGTGAAGTTTGTTCGCTCCTACTTTGTTTGATTGCCCCTTCAAACCTATCGAATTTCTCCATTCCCCCCAGAAACTCTCGCGCGAGAAAACGCTGAAACACCTGGCTGATCGCGCGCTTTTCGTTTGTCTTGATGACTAAGGGTAAATGCGCCCTCTCTCCACCGTCGAATAATGGCTGGGAGTGGGAGAGGCCAAACGGCCGTGATGAAAGGAAAACGATGTGAGTCAGCCATACAACGCTGTCATTGATTCGCAAAATCATACTGTTGTTGTCATTATTGCTGTTATTATTTTCTCATTCATATTGTTACACTCGAAATATGCCGAAAAAACTCAAAATGATCAATCATTCACATAGTCTATGCCAAACATGAACTCCCTTTTCTAGCAGGTCAACCGCCTCGCCAAAGCTTCGCGTTGCGTTTGCGGGCGTACAGATTGAGCGTTCAAGTTGATGTCATCTATCGGAGGTTGCCGCGCGAGACTTTCATGTTGCGGATGCGTTATCTCTACGGTAAAAAGGAATACTCAACTGATACAGAGTGTATATTCGAAAAATCATGTGTAGCTTAATGT